ATGGGGTAATTACGCCGGTTGCATAATTAGAAAACCGAAGGCTATCTTTTATATGAACATGAACAATGTATTCGCATGCGAGCATATCATGTACGAACCACTTAATCTTGTCAGAAAATGGCCTTAAATATGTGAAAAAAGATTCAAACACAATGAGACGTTTGAAAGAAGCTTTTAACGATCCTGTATGTTTTTTTTTATATTTATTATTTTTGAATGCACTTTCTTCTATTTTGAAAATTTAAAAAGAAATTGATTTATATCAAAGTGTTAAGAAGAGAAAAAAATTAAACAAAAAGTGCAATTAAAACAAGCAAATGTAATATTTAATATTTTTATTAATTAATTGTATGTATAATTAGTGTTGTCTGTATATCTACAAATAGATTTATATACATGACTAATAACATTTTTATTTATTGAATCAGTTTTCTATACAATTATTTATAGGAAAGTTACTATTACATATATTTTTGCTATAAATTAAAAAATTTGTTTTTAGATTACAAAAATAATATTAAAGTTGATAATCATAACTTTAATTAACATAACTTATTTTGTAATTTTAGTATATTTAATAGTGTATTTAAAAAAAATGTGACAAAAATGACAAAATTTTTATAACTTATCTTAACTGTGCATCTTTACTGCGTTGATTAAAAAGTTTCTTTGAATCTTTCAGTAAAAATAAAAGATTAAAATCCGAAAAATCTTTAGTGAACTCATCATTACATGCATTTTTTAAACGATTTTTTTGTTTCTTGCTTGGGTGACACAGTCAACGAGTGACTACAAAGTAAAAGTGGACGGACGAGATATTTATCTTCACAAGGCTGTCCTAAAAATTTGTAGTTCATATTTCACAACCATGTTTCAACATACTTGGAAAGAAAATAATGAGAAGTAAGCGTTTATGACAAAACTGGTATTAACAAATTCTTAAACTAAATTTTTATAATTTTAATGTACGAGAAAGTATCAAAAAGTAATCTTCATATGGCAATAAAAAGGAACTGTAAATATAAGGTTATTTTTTGATTCTCTCTTGTGTTTCATAACAGTGTCTTGAAGCTCGATATGTTCTCATACAACGTTTATGAAGCATATTTCAAATATCTGTATACAAGTGAGATCGAGATACCTCCAAAAAAAGTCTTAGGTAAGCTTGAATAAAGAACGCTTTTAAGTACATTATATTCATACTTTATCAAGATTATCTTATTGTAGAATTGTTAATATTAGCTGATATGTATGATGAGAATAATTTAAAAAGAGCTCTTATTCCGATAATACAAAGAGAGGTTACTATATCGAATGTAGCACTTTTTTATAGCAAAGCGATTGGATATAATGTACAGGTAATTTTAATTATTCACAATGTTTAAATGTTAACATTTAATAGCAATTTACTACATCTAAATTTTTTATTTTTATATATTTTATATATTAACATTTTTTTTTGTAGTGGCTGGAAGAATTCTGTTTTTCATATTTTATTAAGTCTTTAGATATGCGACCAAAGTGAAACAAATGGAAAGTTTCAATGAGTTGGACGAAAATACGAAAATTATGTTTCTAATCGAAGTAGACAAAGCTAAAGCTTTTAAAACGTAATTTAAATATTTTTTTGACATTAAATTTTAATCGAAATCGAATGGAATTTACAAATATGCATGTACACTCGACTTACTAACAATAAATTACATTAAATTTGAATACTATGTTTATGTTAACTTTATCATTCCATATTTATTCCATTTATTATTCCCATTTTTTCTTATATAATATATATAATAATTTTTATGTATGAGTATCAAATGCATTGTGTTATTTTTCTGTATATCTATCTAACATTTTCAATCTTGCAAAATCGCAAATTATATCCGGGCAGTTAAGATTTGACGTGTGGATCGCGTAATATTTTGTTATTAAGTCTTTCTATTCCTTTTGAAGTAAAATAATAGCTCTTCTTAATATTTAATATTTATTCCTAATATTATCTGTGTGCGTTGGGCTTTGCATTTCATATTGCTCGAGTCTCATTTCTGGCACCACTGCCACATACTTGTTGTTATTAAGCGTAGTTCAAATTTGCTTAAAATGACGAAATTTATCATAAAACATGTTAAGATGCACTGATCATAGTGCGTTCAAAGAATATTTACTGAATCTTTTTGTTTTCAGAACGCAACCATTGGTAACATTGTAATTGCTCTTACGCGTCTTTTTTTGACGTACTTTGCAACATTAGACGCTGACAAAATTAATTTTCGGTTTATTGAGAAGTTTTGGAATGATTTGAAATGCATTTTAGTTAATACTTAGCTGCAAAGAGTACTCTAAACAATAAACTTTTAAATTGAAAAAGTTAAATTATTAAATTTATAAGGGGTTGTGATTAACGTAACGTTATAATTAATATTGTAATTTATGAATTATATAGAAAAAGATTTATTTTATTTAATTGGCCGAAATCGATTCTTACGTGTATTCCGGCTGATAGCTACGCTATTCCACGCTATCGCTTGTGTATCAGATTTCCATTGCAAGCCGAGTGCTTCTCTATCGGAGGAGAAGATGCGAACGTTGCTTTCTTATATGCACTTTAGCACAGACTCCAACCACGAGATGCGTTTATTATCTCATGAATGTAGAAACGTGACTTCACTTGGTGATATCTCTGATAGATGTCAGCATTAGTGTCTCATCGACTGTGAATCAGCATTAATGCCTCATCCTTTGAATGACGTTCCGCTTATCATTCGATTTGATAGAGAAACAGTAGGGGAGCATTGCCATTGACATACGAACAAGCTCAGTTATCCCGCGTTTATCCGCATAAACTAGAGCGCTCGTAGCGCGTGGCGTTTTCCGAGCTACCCGGTAAACTAGAGCAAGGAAGACTCGAGGATCGCGATCCAGTAGGAATCGCGGCTCGGTAGTCCTTCCTGCGTGTTTACGAGTCTCAGATCAAGGTAAGAACTTATCTTTCTTACGTACCTTTCTCTTCATTTAATGATAGAAAACATTTTTTTATATATCATACAAATATATTTCTATATAACATTTAATGCAAATATAAAAAAGCATTTAAAAAGTTTACTTTTAAGATTAAAAATTCAATTTTATTTTCCATAACATTTTATATTTTAATATACCTTAACAAATAACACTTGTACACTAAGAATGTATATCGAGAATTTGTATTTTTATAGTTCAAAAAAAGACAAACAATCGTAAGAAACATCGATAAACAACGATAATCTATTCAACATAAGAAACATTGAATCAATGATAATCTTTCCGCGATATTAATGCCAATTTGCTATTTTCTTTTTAATAAATAGCCAATATTTGCAACAAATACAATTCTCTTTGAAATTATTTATTTATATTGTCATAATAGTATACTATAATAATAATGTCATTATGTGTGTATAATATTGTAATTACACTTATTAAAAAGAAAAATGAGAAAGATAGAAGCAATAATTTAAAAATTATAAAGTTCTGCCTAACGTTTTTTTTACATTTGGAAAATTTTTTCTCTCAAATAATATAATTATGAGATTTTACATAATTATACAATTGCGTATTTGCTTTAAATGCTTTCTTTTACAAAGAATGTTAATAAGAAATACAACGGAAGTAATAATCAGCTAAGACTTTAGATTAACGTCCATCTTCGTCTATGCTACTCGTGCTTAGAGGATAAATTACACAATTACGTAAGTCTACATCTCAGGTACATAAAGAAAACGAATGATTGTGAAAAAGTCATAAATTTCTTATGCTCATTTTTCACTTTGAACATTAGAAGCAAATAAAAATGTTTTATATACATTAATTATTATATATATTTGGAATTAATTCTTAGTATTTTATGCGACATACTTCGACATTAATGTGTTGATGCACGAAAACCACGTGCAAGATTTATATGAATATTTATCGAGTCAACAAATTCAATTAGATTTCTTGATTAGATAAGTATATAAGTATTGCTTACTCATGAATAAATATTACTTAATCCATTGTGATAGAAGTAGCACAAAAAATAAAACTTTTAATTTTTATCTTATAAACCCTTTATAATCGAATCACAAAGTAAATTTGGTATTTGCATCTAAGCAAGTTATTGAATAATTAATATTCTTTTTTACGAATCAATAGCGTTACAAGTATCTTATGAGCAACTGATAAAAGTGTATAATGTGTAGTCGCTTACTGGTTAAGTAGAGAGTATAAAAATAGTATTTATGATCCCAATCTGCTGTATCATTATCGTGTGAAATTCTAATCGTTTAAGTAACGGAACAGATAAAATTTAGTGTGTTGTGTGCGCATTATCGTTTATCGCTCCATTTAGTTTACGGATGCATATATTGTAACATTCACGAGATTAGGTCGGCGTCTTCTAGCTCAAAAAGTAAGTTATGTAACGACGCTTTTGCATACGCATCCGAAAGACGTCACCGTTACTGTACCGAGGTATCTGCAAAGCGAGTGCAACGTGCGAGAGATTTATCGTCCCTATTAACGTATTAATAATTACGCGACTATGATGAAAGATAACGGCCTTATCGCCACCCGTGTTACACACATATACGCACACGTGTGTTTCGTGATTTTAAAACTCTCTGCACGCTGCAATGTACACGCGCTAAATGCATTGCGAGCAGCAGTCATCGACCACGTGTAAAATGGCTTGGAAACACTGCAGATGACTGCGACCTTCCGATTGTTTTTTACATTCTATCGGATACGTGTTATTTAGACAGAATTAAGAATTCCAGGGTGCAAGTCATTATTGACTGCCGTTATCGTGACAATGCGTTGTTTCTGCGCTAAATGTATTTTATATGGCGCATTGACTTAATTAATGACGCCGCGAAGCTCTTATCGCGAAACTTAATTTTCTGGAACTCCCTTGTCGAAGCAGATTATGTGAGCAAAGCATTGTCAGTCTGCCAAGACCGGCGAGAATTGCTTGGAACGAGAAATATCCAGAACTCGAAATCAACGTACACGTAATTTTGACACAATTCGATATAAATGCAAACTAAATAGATCTAAGTAGGTCATACATTTTTTTTAAATTTCTATCTTTCTCTGAAGAAACTTACGATCTATTTATTTCATGTTTCCACTTTTTACGCAAAATAACTGAACAGTTAAATGATCTGGAAAAAAAGCAACATTTTAATTTTTTTCCAGACATTTATTTAAAAAAATTTTAATTTAATTTAATTTGCATGAATGACAAATTAATCCAATATTTCTATTTTTTTTTCTTAATTGTAGTCTATTTATTTCAATCTTTTGCTAAAAACGAGAAAAATAAAAGAAACGAGAGAATAATTGATTAATCTTGAAAAAAATAAAGCCTTTTTTAATTGATTCTTTTTAAGGCTACCGGAATTATGAATAAGGGCTGCGGAGTATGCGGGATTTATCCCAAATGGTTACGGAATCGGGCCACGCACAGGAACTTCATCGCGGTATACGGTTTACTGGGCACCGTCCAGGCGATGGCCTTCATCTACATCGCCGTCACCTTGACGACTTTGGAGAAGAGATTCAAGATACCCAGTCGTACGACTGGTAAGTCTCTTACTCCCGCGTAAATCACATATAGTTAAGACTTCACGACGTGGCAACTTTTGTTTGACAATATTTATAAAGATACACATCATTTACGGGCACGAGAATCCTACGCGGGTGGTTCGCGATTATAAATTTTCACTGGAGATTAATTATTAGGCGCGACGCTAAACAATTATTTGGAAAAAAAACTCGCAATATTTGTTGCGCGCACGTGATGCGCGCAACAAATTATTCGTACTCGTGTTTTATCTCGACACGGTGGAATTTTGAACGTCATCTCGTCTTAATCGTCTTCAGCCTCGGATTCCATTGCCGGCAAAGCCGAATAATCGAGCATCTCCGCGGGTATATTCGCGTTTAAGTACTCGTACTTGCACACGCACGGATCGCGTTTCCGTGTGCGTTTATCTAGTAGGTAAGTAGTGTGTCGCAATCATAGAAGTGACAAATCTGTCATACAACGAGCGTTATACATGCACTGAACAGCCAAGACACGCGGACACGCATCACATGAGCCTGTAGTTAATCATAACACTCGAGATATTGATATATTTTATTGAAAAGTTTTTTCGAATAATTTCAAAATAAATATAATATTTCGTAGAAAATTAGTTTAGCCGGTGAAGTAATAGGATATATAAAAAATGACGTATACAAGATGATTTTTTTATATATAAACATTAATGACATTAATATGTAAAATGTGTGCAGGATATTAAAAAAAATTCAATATTTATAATTTGCGCGCAAATAAATAAAGTTCTTTATCAAAGAATTCAAGTAAAAAGTTTGAATATCTATTATCGACAAGTGACATTTACGTATTAAAGTAAAATGATAAAGTAATCCGTAAGTAAGATAAAGTAATACTGCGATAAACAAAAACGAGGAAGTCATTTATACCAAGAATACTCTGCTATAAATTGCTACAAATTGCTTTTATCATTGATAAAATTAATTTTTTAATCTAATTAATAAATTTTATTTTTTTTATATATATATTCTGCTCAGATTGATAAGAATAATAAACAATCTGCACATTATTGTTTATTGTTCTTATCAATCAAATATATATTATACATTTAAACAGTTAAGCAAAGATGACAAATATGACGAATAAGACAAAATGATGAATATTAATATGTGTTTTGAATTCGCTTTGCACATTTCTCCTGGATATTAATTATAATGTATTTTGATTCCTGCAAAGTAGATAAATGCATATTACAGTCGTACGCCAACGCCACGATGTTGCGGTTTTTCATGTACAAGGCAAACGATGGTTTCATTATCTTCGAACGATCGATACACCTTTATGCATGCTGTTGCAATTTGATATCAGGATAGTGTGACGCGATATCTCTTTACGACGTTCCGAATACTTCGAGTTTGCACACAGAAAATTAATAGAAACCTTGTTATTTACGTCACAAGATTTCTGCATTTTTAATTATACGATTAAAATTTATTTACCATTTGTTTGCAATTTAAAAATTTTAATTGTTCTTTATATTGAATTTAATTGCAGAGCAAAAAATTAGAGTGCAAATGAAGATAGAAAAAGCGAGCTAAATTAATTTATCACTTGCACATATAATAGGTGTAGATTATAAAATTCTTTCTATAATCTCACAGGATTGATCCTTTCGGGTAACGAGATCTCTCAGATCTTGTCTCTGATCTTGACCTACTACGGAGGATCCAGTCATCGGCCAAGATGGATCGCGGTTGGAGTCAGTTTGAGCGCATTGTCCTGTCTTGTTTTGGCCCTACCGCACTTCATATACGGCCCTGGAAAGGACGCCTTAGCATTAACGAAGGAATATTTGGATCAGACTTTGTTAAACATGACGAACAAACATGACCTTGCGACTTGTCCACGCACGGATCAGCCGGAACAGTGCGACGCCGAAACCATGTTGAGCGTTAGTCTGCTCCCTCGATTGCTCGTTTTTATATCTCAATTTATCCTTGGCATTGGAACGACGCTTTACTACGGCTTGGGACAGACGTATTTAGACGATAACACGAAGAAGAAAAATACACCTATGCTTTTAGGTGAGCTATCGATTAATAAAAGAATATTATCGATAAGTAATTTTCAGAAGCAGCTTTTTTATTAATGTGTTACAATAATATACCTGTTACCTTGTTATTGAAACTGATAAGAAAGAAATGCGCGAAATGATATCTTAAGAGTGTATTTAAGATAAATTATTGCCACATTATTTAGTTTTATAAATATGAAATTTTTTGGTCTCTTTATCTAAATTTATTATAAAAATTCGTAATTATAATTTATGCGCTACAAATCTCTGACTGCGTAATAATTGTTGAATTCAATCTAATTTCATTTGCAAGGTTTTACATTTGCCCTACGCACTGTGGGTCCAGCGATCGGATTTCTATTGGGCTATGCTTGCTTGAGTTTATACATAGACCCAAAACTGCATCCTGTTATCACGCAGAAGGATCCGCGATGGTTAGGCGCATGGTGGCTCGGATGGATAATCCTCGGCGTTACAATGGGTATGTTCGGCGTTCTGATCGCTTTGTTTCCACGTGAACTTCCTAAATCGGAAAATACTTCTAAAAAGGTAATACTTTACTAATCATTGACATTAAAATACTCTCGAAAATAATTAAAAGCGTTATATTATCAGTAACATAAAGGAATTACAAGTTATTCAATCTTAATTTATCGTAAAAAATATATTATTTTCTGTACATATTTTTCATCTATATAAAGATAATAATTGTCCTTAGAAAAGTTCGTTAGTTCTGTTGCTCTCCACATGAGATGCTAGTTCTAAATTAGGAAAATAAATCATTTAAGGAATATTCTAAATATCGTCAAACCAATTAATAAAGACATTTTGTTTCAGGATGGCGAAATACCTTTGAAGCTAGATCTACAGCAACAGCCTCCGCTGCAGATGGAACCCACGAAACCAATACCTCAGGAGGCTGAATACATTCCGACTATTCGCGAATTTCCAAAAGCCATGAAACGACTGTTAACTAATAGGCTGTTGACCTGCAACAACTTAAGCACCGTATTTTACATACTCGGCGCTTCGGCCTATTTTACATTCATGGCGAAGTATCTTGAAGTTCAATACGGTACGTCCGCGGCTGGCGGCACTGTGATAGCAGGTACATACGTTTATTTATATACAGTTACATTGATTACATTTACAAACTATTATTTGAAATATCTTAGACGCATACGTTTAACAAATATTGCGAAAAACGTTTTCAAAATTAACGAACAAGGAATTATTCACATTAAAGAGAGTTGCATCGGCAACTAACGTTTGGATCAACAATTATAAATACAGACAGCGCACAAAAATCTCGCATTGACCTTAGAACCCACTATTTTCATATAATTAAATATTATTTGTTACAATTTTTAATATTAAGCAATTTTTTCTATTTTTTAAGAAATAATTGATTCTAAATTCTTCTGCTGAAAAGAATATATTTTAAATACAGACAGCGCACAAAAATCTCGCATTAACCTTAGAACCCACTATTTTCGTATAATTAAATATTATTTGCTACAATTTTTTAAGAAATAATTGATTCTAAATTCTTCTGGTGAAAAAAATATTTCACTTGACATGAAATATATATAGAATAAATGTATGATATAATTATATACATATTATATATAAATATTTATATTTTTTCATTGTTATTTATAGGTCCTGTATCGCTAGTTGGCATGGTATTAGGATTCTTATTATCGGGATTAGTGATTAGCAAATTCAAACCGGGCCCTAGACCGCTCCTCGCGTGGAACGTTCTCGTCGGCATTTTCTTTGTCATAGGACAAGTGTGCTTCACATTTCTCGGATGCACGGGCTCCGGAATTCATGGCATAAACTCAGAAACTATGCAGTGAGTATATTCCCGATACAAGCTTCGGAATAAAAATCCTTTCGTTCACGCCTAAGCGCAGTGGAATTCGATATAAAATTTTTATCTGTTTGCAGAATGAATCTGACAGACAGCTGCAATGCCGATTGCAACTGCGCGGGCGTCAAGTACTCGCCGGTCTGTCACGAGGCGTCGAAAACGACTTTCTTCTCCGCCTGCCACGCGGGATGCCGGACGATGCTGGACGATAAACAGTTCAGCAACTGTAGTTGTCTGCCGTTGGGCGAACTCGGCCGTGCTGGAAGTCACTTCGAGTATTTCAGCTCCAGCAGAGCCTTTCTTCCGGAGCAGCAGATGTATCTGCCCGACTCGCAGGCGTTGCCGCCGATCTTCGACAAGGTCCGAGCCGGCCCGTGCACCACCAACTGCAACGGGCCGTATCTGCTCTTCACAGTGCTCAGCACCGTGATTCATACGCTAGGCTGCTCCGGAAAAATCGGCAACGTCCTGGTGAATTACAGGAGCGTCGAGAAGCGAGACAAGAGCTTCGCCCAAGGCATCACGCTGATGATCATCTCGCTACTGGCTCTCATCCCGGGGCCGATCATTTACGGAGCCATTATTGACTCGACTTGTCTCGTATGGGAGGAATCTTGCGGGACCAGAGGAAACTGCTGGTTTTATCATCGAGAAAACTTTCGATTTTTAGTGAACATTTCTTCGGCCGGTGAGTATCGCCAGCTTGACGATCTATATATTTTATTGAACTGGTGCTTGTTCGTTGATTAGATAGAAAAAGATGCAACGTGTGTGGTCGATAAAAAAACGACGAACAGTGGCTATTGACCGATATCCAAAATTATCTTGCTAATGACAAGTTTAAATATTGATTTTATCGTTTTCGCCGCGAACATAGGGCTTCTCTATAGGTCGATTTCAACATTTCGGCTATAATGATGTAACTTTTCAGGATTTACCATGATTGGAGTGTTATTCGACGCTGCGGTTTGTTATCTCGGTAAGGATTTGGATCTATATGGAGCAGCAGAAACTGATAAGAGACGCGAATTCGTGAAAGATGCTGCGACTGATAATACGGACAAGAAAAAGGAAGTCAACGGGAATTTAACTCAAAAGATAGAGCACAGTCATTTGTAACACACACACCGCTGCAATCCAGTAAAAGTTTGTGGAGTTCTCTAGGTACCTGAAATTTTTCGAGGCTTCTATCACTGAATAATCCGATGATTTGTAAATAGAACAATGATTCTATTAGCTACAGAGAAAGCAATCGTGTAAATAACATTGACATAATGCATTTTTTTAATTGTTGCATTTCCGAGATTTTAGATAATAGGAAATGAGCACGATTTTGGGACACAAGTTTGCAACAACGAAATTATGAGTTGCAACAACAGCGTCCAACTTTTGGTGTGATTCACAACCTCGTTGTTGCAAATTGCTGTAAATCGTGATAATTTCTTTGTAAATAAATTACGAATGTTTTTATTAATTAATTTTGTTTTTCTTATACTTTGTTTCGCGTTACCACTTCGCACACTTTGCAAGCTGAATTCATATTTTCCAATTACTGAAATCGCGAGGCAAATATATTCGGCCGTAAAACTTTATCGACATTCTTTCATTCGACATGCACGAAACTTTCTACGAAAGTTAAAAATTAATTGTTACTCCTACGCAATTTTTATTTAGTTTGGCTAAGCAAAATTGGACAGATTTGTTACTCCAATAAAGTATTCACCCTTCATCGGTTATCGTCCGCCAAATCTCCCGCAAGCGGAACGTAATGCGCTGCGAGAAGAAAGGGTTCGCTCGAGTGTACGAGAAAGTACATCGTGGATCGGTGTACGCCGTGTTCGTTTCTTTCGGATGAGAAAGAGCGCCGGGAGGTGGAAGGTAAAGTCTTGGGGCTTGTTTTCAAGCCACCGGCGAAATTCGGCGAGTCGGCAGGGCACACGGCCACTACCGGCGGAGGGATTACATCCCACGAGGCTGAAAGTAAAAAGGAGTTTTTGTTTGAGAGCCTTTTAATTTTTAAGCCCACCCAGCTAAAGCGGGCGGCTTGGCCCGTGTAATGAATTCCGCGACGTTCCCGTGACGTCAGGTCGTCCCTATCGATCGCATCCTTCGGAACACCATTAAAGGATGCGCTTTGGCATTACGATTAAGCGCTCCACCTTATTCCGTCGCAAATAAGGAAAAATGAGGTCTACGAGGCGGCTGGCAACATCAGCAGGCTGACGAAGACAAAGATTCGCTGCTACGTAGCTGAAGCGAGCTTCAAGATTTATCGAGAATTCTCTATTGACTTTACTGGAGTTGAAATAATTTATCGGGTTGTTCGAAAAGTGTGTAGATATTTTTAGGGAAAATGCGAAAATGACATTTTTATATTTGGACATGCGTCAATAATTTATTAGCCGTTTGTTTCGATGACCTGCCATCTTTTAGGCACCTTTATAATCTGTCAGAACTTTCTATCTTTCGGAGAGAAAAACTGTTCGACATGATTTTTGCAAGAAGACGGAAACTTTTATTGTTAAGAAAATTCTGTAGAGATTAGTGATAATCGGAGAATGACAGATGAGATGAAGAAACATCTCATCCAAGTTTCAACACCACCTCTTGAAAATCTTTACGAATCTGTTTTCGGACAACCCAATAACATGAAATATAAATGTATACACAAATATTTTATAAAGAAAAATTACAGCACCTTTTTGTTTGTATCACTGCTATATGGTTTTGTTTTTTTTTATCACTGATATTAATTACCGTAAACTGATCTCGAAACCACTCTTTAAAAAGGCATGTTATCCGATATCTCGATAGCATCGAAGTTTATTGCTGCGACTTTTCCGCGATGCCAATTGGTTCTTTCGTTATCAGTTCATGTCGTGAGCGGCTGTCGTTGCGAAGTTTTTGAAGTTGTACATATTTTGCATTTCTTTGTAATTAAAAGAATAAATGGCGCGCGTGTAGCGCGCGCTCGTGTGTTTAGCGTCCTCCTAAAATCAAGATTGATTTGTATTAATTATTATCCTCCGTTACTTTCAACTTGATGACATCCTTAAAATATCGAATGGCAAACATATCAACATATATACAACAAATGTAGTTTCACATTATCAATAAGAACGTCGTTTATAAGGGAGATGAAAACTGTCACTCCTTCGCGCCTCGGCCTCGGCAAGTTTTGCTGTTGTGTGTACACGGTTGCATTGTGCATGACCCTGACCCATCTTTCATATAGACCTCATCAACGTCTTCTAAGTCGAGGTACAGTCCGATCTAGACTAGCAGCGAGACCGGCCAACAGAGAAGGACAGAGAGCGTGTGATATAGATGACCGGAAGCAATCGGTTTACTCACCTTCCACCACTTCGAGGCTTAAGAATCGTGTCGCTTTTATCGATCACGCTATCTTGATCAGATCTCGACTCTTCCCCCTCCTGCGAATCAAGAATTTCTCACGTGAATGACAACACGGTGATGCTCGGTACAGCATTTCTTTTTTTTTTGGTAAAAAAAATAAATTTTTTCTAATGAAAAACCGGTTGATGCGTATTAAAATGCAACGGCACGGAGAACTAATCGCGAGTGTGAAGTGAAAACCACACTCAAGAAAAATGACAATTGACCATTTACCTCTGCTGCAATAATAACGATTCTAATGAAGCTCGTCCGGTGTTCCTTCTGCCATATTCTACAAATGCTGCGTAATTTATACGCGCAAGTGGGTTGTGCAGTTTAAAGCGCCTAACAAAATTTGTCAATGAAGTAGTCTCGTACACTTTGCAAGTTAACATGTCAGATATAGTCTAACTAAGCCGGATATCGCGCAACAGCAGAGAAATTGCGATAGAATTAATACCGGGCGGAAGACACGTGTCTCAATGCGGAAATAAATTGTTTAATAGATTAACCGAATAAGTAACTAGTGATGTTCAAATAAAGAAGTCTAATCTAGATTTTAATTTAATTTTTTTTCAAATTTAATTATTTATTCTACAAAAAACGTAAAAATATCGTTCTAATCTCGTTTTATAACAAAATCTGTATTTAATAAGAAATTAGAAAAACTATTGCCGCATTTTAAATTTGCAGTATTTATCTTTATTATGTTATCACATATAAAAAAAATAAGATATTTATCGAAAAAGTCTTGATTAATTTTATTATTGATTTTTAAGATTATTAAAGATAAATGGAAATAAATCTATTAACATAAAATATAAAAATATAATCTCGGTTACTTTAATAACAGTTATATAATAGCTTATTAATATTTGTAGGTTTTTATGTTGCATAGAAAAGAGTTTCCGCTCTCTCAATATCATCATCGTTAGTCCAAAAAGGTAGCAGCTTTCAAATGATATGCATATTTCAGGTTGCGCAAATATCTTGCCGAGAGAATCGCGTGTAAATACAGAGTTTATAAATCATAGTGGATTTTGCCATTTTTTTTCGGCAATAAGAGATGTCTCGCCAGCTTTAAACCTGGTCAACGTCACGCATATCAGGGTATCGTAAATTTGAAGCCTATAACACGTTGCAAAGAGCGCAACCGAAGCTGTAAGTATTTATTATTTATTTACTTTAATAATATTTGGCAGGGTATTAACGGGAACGTTTTTAGAAGTGGAATCTTCCACAATTAACAGAAATTATGATTGCTAATTTGGCGATAAACCGAAGAATCATTCTACAACTGCATAAAAATACGGATAAAGATTTAAAAGGTGATACATATTCCCGTAATATACGTAAGAAATCGAATCTGCGAACTCTTATTGTCGAAAACGAATAACTATGAGCTATTTTAAGAGAAGAGTAATATAAATCTTTCATAGCAATAGCTTTTAACGTTGCGGCAAATTGATGTCGGGCATTTCTACGAAGTTTTATTTGCGTGTATCAAAAGAGAAATTAAAGATTCCAAGAAGTTTGTGCATGCACAGTATATTTCGCGTGTATTTATGATCTCTTATCGTAGATGTAAATTTTCATTTGTCTCGGCAGGTTTGTGTGCAAGCAAATACCGTCAGGAAGACGTTTCTTGCAAATCACGATGCATATTGACTTGTCAAACGAAATCATGAATTCGTTTACTAATTCGTTTGATAATCTAATCTAATCATTTGATATCATTGACGATCTAATTTCACGCACAAATAACTATCGCGATCTTCATAACTTTTTTAAATTCTACAATTTATAAGTATTTAAAAACTTTTTTACGCTTTATATTGAGCGACTTAAGTAGAACGTACAAATACAAAAAGTTGAATAGTTAATTAAACAAAAATCGCAGACTCGATAAGAAAATTATATCAAACATCAATTGCAAGAATAAATGTCAATTCTTCTTTTGTAAATCTGCCGTGCAACAATATCTTATTTAAGACAAATGAATGACTTGAATTTAAAAAGAAAAAGAACATTAATTGTTTTTCTAATTTAATTTTACTTGTCCAGAGTTGTAAAGATGGATCACTTTCCGGAAATCGATAGAGATTCGATACAATGGCGGATTTAACGCGCTTTCCTAATCGCGGCGCTTTGAAAAACTGACCGTTCTGCGAGTATAAAAATAAAATTTCAGCAATTACCGTCAGCTATTAGCGACATAGCTGTTTGATGTGTGCCATTAGCAATGCGCGGGAGAGACGGAAGAGTTTACCGAGTGCCTACATATGTGTGCGCGCGCGTGTGTACATCACGTCGGCTCTATTAAATCATAATGGGTCCACAATGTGAGCCTCTGCTCCCGGAGGTTGACTAGAAACGAGCTTAGACAACACCGTACCGAAAGCCAAGACCTCGTGCACGTCGCCGTGTGGTCCGCGCATCTCGCGACTAGTCCCGAGTAGGGATGCCCCGTTTCTCCAACAACGCTGGGATAACACGAAGGTAGAGAACGGCGCTTTCAAACTTTTCTGAAAGCGCGCTTCCTATTTTCACGATTCTCTCGCCGCGACGCTGCAAAGAGCTGTGCTAATCGGTAACTGCAAGAAAAAAAAAATTGATTTATCTTTTGAATCGCGTAAAAAATAACAACGCATACATAGTGCGTCGACAACTGGTGATATGACGAAAATAAAGAAAACAATTTAAAAAAAAAAAAAATACTTTTAGCATTCTATTTAAAGAGATATCGTATCTGATTGATATCTTGTTTTATCACTAAAATATTGTATGAAAAAAATTGCAACTTTAAAATGATTTAAGGCTCTCAAAATGAAGTAAACCTTGGAAATTTATTCGCGGTGCAGATATATAGTTGTGAATATGGTTATTAATCTAATGATAATTTACACTTGGTGATCCCATAAAATATGAGCAGACTAAAGCCTGAAATAGAACTGTCAAGTAGCAGTAGTAGATCGTAAGATGTACTTCGTACGCGCCCAATTTCGCAATAGCACGGGGCGCCGAGCGCTTACCCCGTTAATTGCTCTTTTTCTTCTGCGTAGGACAGCAGCATCCCTACTTCCATCCGAATCATTCGGTGCAGGTGCGGGTTTGTCGCGCAGAGACAGGCCAAGCCGGCGGCGTTCGCGATCGACGAGGACAGCTAGTTCCTCCTAGTCGTAGAAGGAGAAGCGAAAGAATCGTGATCGGTCCGGTGGGAGGGGGGGGGGAAAGGAAAGAGAGAGCGAGCGACGCGAGGCGTGGGGGTATGAGCTGATTGCGAGAGACAGAATTTACCCGCTTGATAACGCGACACGGTGGATCGTGGGTATGTGTAAGGAGATCCACCATCGTGAATTTCTCTGTCGTACGATCGGCTCCTGGGCGGTGGGGATCCCTCAGTGGGCATAGAACACGGCCTGCTCTCTGTGTTGCGTTTAGGCACCTCAGTTGCGAAAGAATATCGCGCCTTTTCGGTCGCGAATCTATATTTCGCGAGGGACCGCGCTGACTCGCGGCCGCAGAGCGATCGGTAAATCGGTCGACTTTTTTCTTCCGCAGGCATCTCCGCCGTATCGCGTATCGATACTCCATTCGAGGACGGCCGCGGTCGAACGTTCGATTCGATTTCGGGGAATCAAGCGGTAGGTGGCCGCGCTTCATGAAATTTTTCATAGCTGCATCTCGCTCGCGAAACACACTTCTTTCATCATTTACGACGAGACTTGTAATTCATCTTTATATATAGATTTTCGTCAATTCTCGCGGAGCGGCTTCACACGCACGACACGCAACACATCGCAACATTTATCATTTGGACGGCAATTATATATACTCGAAGCACAGCTTCGTATTTTTTTTTTTATCCGAGAGACGAGATTGTAGCGACACTTTTACAACAAACTTGTTTAAATATTATTGCAATAATATCGATATTCCAATAATCACCTTCCGTCCGATAATACCGTCGATTCAATCGCAGATTGTTGTACAAACATATTTGTCTTCGGTCCAATTCAAGGCTCGAAACTTTTCCGTCGCCATCGTCATTGAGCATCCCCGTGGGATAAAATCGTTGAGCCGCAGGCGCGACAGCCGCAGTCAACCCCCTGAGTCTCCCCGGCGTAGGTGTTGTCCGAGCGCGACCGAGTCGAAACATGGAGAACACGTGACCGTGACAGAGTGACGGGACACGAGGAACGAGAGTGCGAGAGGAAGAGATAAGTACCGCGAGTGAGCGCGGGGCCGCGGGAGTGAGTTCGGGACGAGAACGAAAAAGCGATGCCAAGGGCCGCGAGGACGACCAAGTCGAAACGGTACCGTGCGACCCGCGATTGAGGTCACTGAGTTCGCTCGTAGCCGCTTGGTGCTTAGGCGTTCGCCAATTGCGCGGGCAGTCGCGACGACCCGGTCGAGGCGAAGATGAAGAACAACTCGAGCAACTCCAATCACGAGAAGAACGGGCCGGAGAACCTGAAGCTGCTGCGGGTGCCGGCGACGCCGCCCGCGACGCCGTCGTCGCCCACGACGCCGACCAGGGGCCTCGAGGACGTCTTCAGGGAGCTGCCGATCACCGACGACACCTCGTGCGGCATATGGTGCTTCAGGGGTCCGATTCTGCAGAAGTTTGCCAACAAGAAGGCGTACGTCTTCCTCTACGGTGTCCTCGGCTGCATATTCTCCGCCAGTTATGCATACTTCAACGGCACCATCACCACCATCGAGAAGAGATTCAAAATACCTTCGAAGACGACGGGTATGTGCGACACGGGTTTCTCATTCTATCTTCTTACGCGACGAATTTTGTTCAGAAATATTTCGAAAACCAATATATTTCTATATATCTCGGCACTATGCTGCAAATATGATTGAATATTTTAGAAGAAAAATCGAAAAAATATATACAAGTAAAAAGAAAAAATTACTTGCTGTAAACACGAATAATCAGTTCGTTCCACCAAATATCTCGTCGTTGCATTTTTCTTAATTTTGTCGAAAATAATTTTTCATCGATAATTAATTTACTAAATTTGATCTCATCCGCAATGATGTGAAGAATACTTCACAATTGAACGTTAACGTTAACTTTATTATTTATTATCGTTATGCAGTAGCTTATTAAAATAATTTAAGACGCTCAAAGCAATCTACTGCAAGGTCTAAGATTTAACGTGGAATTAATCTAATGTGACGGCGACACGTGGACATCGTTAGATGAACGGCTACGCCGCAATTTGCATCGCGCGGCTGAAATATTCTGAAACTTCCTCGTAACGCGCCGTCCGCGCTGAACACGCGCTTTTTCTGCACGCAGGTCTCATCACAGTGGGTAACGACATCTCGCAGCTTTTCGTATCCGTCGCTCTGTCGTATTACGCAGGAAGGGGTCACAGGCCTCGATGGATCGCATTCGGTATTTACACCGTAAGTTTCGCCGCATGAATCGGTTGCTTGCGATATCGCGCCGCATCTAACATTCGCGCGCCGTACTTTCCGATCGCGTCGGCAAGAAGTGAAATCAGCTGTCGGCACACGCCCCGTGGAGCGAGCCGGTAGACGTCATACCTCACCGATTGGTCGGTTTCTTAATTAAATTAGGAAGTGTTGGAATCGTAGCTACGCTCATTCATGCCTCTTACCATCGTACTCTCGTCGTCGTATGCTTAGCTAAGCGCTCCATTCTTCGGATAGTAAAGAGGCGCTTGCGGAGTGCTCGAACCTTTATGCATCGAGCTGACGGCTGAAGCGTTTAAAATGCGATCGTAAAATAGATAAAAAAAAAAAAAAAATTGAGGAAGAATGAAAATGAAAACAATTTATTGGGAGCTTAATAAAGACGCCGGTCAGAATATAAGTATAATTTCTTTAAAGCTCGCGGTTTCAATGTTATTCTTCAATCACGAAAACAATGCCGTTTTATCAATCGATCCTTATTTCATCAGGTCGTACTTTTCTGTTGCTTAACGATGCTGCCGCACTTTCTTTACGGCCCCGGCGAGGACGCTCTGTCGCTGACTAAGGAATACGGGGCGAAGCCGCGAACGCTGAATACAAGCGACATTCCCGACAAGCATCGGAAGTCCCTCTGCTTGGGCAAAGAAAATCGCGGGACCGACTGCGAGGTCGAGGACGGGAACTTCGCGCCGCAAGTGTTACTCTTTATAGCCCAGCTGGTGTCCGGCGTGGGCGGCTCCCTTTACTACACCCTCGGGGTGTCGTACATGGACGACAATATACAGAAATCGAAAACGCCGGCGCTGATCAGCTTTTCGTACTTCCTAAGGATGCTGGGACCCGCTATCGGCTACGGACTCGCCTCGTTCTCCTTGAAGTTCTACGTCAGCCCGACTCTGACTCCGACCATCACGACGCAGGATCCCAGGTATAATAAAAATAATTAATTGTTTATCATTAACCCTTTGCACTCGAGTAATAAATTCAACATTCCCTTCCAACTCGATAATTATAAACATAATTTGTCACGGAAAATTTACGATTACTTTTTTACTAAAAAAAAAACGAGTTGTTAAATTTTATCATTTATACATCGCTTATTTGCAAAATTTACATTTTTACAGTTTTTTAAGTGTAATACTTTTTAAAACAGGTGTCACGAAAATAGCTCCTCCGCTTTCTTTCACATTGAGCCTGGAACAAATTACACAATCTTTGATTTTCCCAGACAATTGAAAAATGAAGTGCGACTGTTATCTGAGCGATACTGCTTATCGCTGTCAAATACCGTGATCGTAATTGGAAAATTTCCAAATGATTTCTATCAACAAGTTCTGTCGAAACTTGTTATAGATTTATTATTATTTATTTTATTCGTATCAGTCAACACGTTTTTTGTTTTAACGAATGCTTGCACCGGCACGACTGGCATTCCAAAGTATTAAAACGTTTTGAAAAAAGGGCACTTATGTAATCATCCAACGCAATTGCGTATTCAAGGTGGCTGGGCGCCTGGTGGCTTGGATGGATTATCCTGGCCATCCTGCTCTTCATTTTCGCAAGCATCGTCGCTCTCTTCCCGAAGACCCTGCCGAGGGCGGCCGCTCGCAAAGTTCTCGCTCTGGAGCGCAACAAATCCGCCGCCAGTATCAAGGGCGAGCAAGAATCGGAGCTGCCGGCGTCAATCTCGGACATGTTGAGAACGTTTAAGCGCTTACTGACAAACACGACGCTAATGTGCAACAATATGGCGACGGTCTTCTATTTCATAGGCTACATGCCTTACTGGATTTTCATGCCGAAGTACATCGAGACCCAGTACAAGCAGTCGGCGTCGGTCTCGTCGCTGATCACCGGCACGGTCGGCCTGGTGTTCAGCGCCTTCGGCATTCTGCTGTCCGGCTTGATCATCTCCAAGTACAAGCCGAAGGCTCGATATCTGGCGGCGTGGAACGTCATGATCGGCATTATATCGGTGCTGGGAATGGTCTCTTACGCTTTCCTCGGCTGCTCGGCGAACGATAATCAGATTGCCATTCAGCCGAACGGCGTCCTGAAAACGCAGTTACCTTGCAACGAGCACTGCCACTGCGATTACGTCGAATATAATCCCGTGTGCTCCGAGCACGGGCAAACATACATATCCGCGTGTCACGCTGGCTGCCGCAGCATGAAGGTTTGATATTGCTTCACGTAATCTTTACGCGAAAGATAATGAAAAAAGAATCGACTGCATTTTCTTTAGAAAATGAGAATCTTTTTGTTACTTCATTTTCTCAATTGAAATTGAAAATTTATTTAAAACGAATGAGCTTTGTTTAAACTTTTCCAAACAATAATAAGGAATTATAATAAAATTTAAAGATGAAATTTCCCGCAACAAACAGTGCAACGTGTAAATTTTTTAATTAAATATATTTAATTTAATTATATTTTTTCTAGCTTTTTAACAATGCGAGTAAAATTTATACGGACTGCAATTGCGTAAAACCAAAGATGAGCCGCTCTCTGGCGCAGCCGTTCACCAACATTACCTTTCCATTCACCACCGAGCCCTCTTTGGAGACGACCGAGTCCACCATAGAAGGAATTTTGGGAACGGCTGTTCCGGGTTCGTGTCCGGTCGACTGCATGCACAAGTTCTACATCTTTCTGGCGGTCGTGTGTCTGCTGAAGTTCAGCGGCGCGACCGGAAGAGCGTCAAATTTTCTGGTTTCCGTAAGATGCGTCGACGAGAAGGACAAAACGGTTGCCATGGGCTTCGGATTAATGATAATGAGCCTTCTAGCCTTCATCCCGTCGCCCATTTTGTTTGGATTTATATTAGGTTTGTGATAAATTGTATTTGCACAAGAGATATGGACAGGCATTAACCGAGAAAGAGATTGCGTGGAGTAACATTGTTAAAGCGATAAACGAGGATAAAGCGCCCGAGTAAACTCCGTCTATTTCTTTCCTTCGGTCGAGCGCCGTGATTTTATTAATTCAAGCCCTTATCGGAAATGTACACATGTATAGCTTTAATTGTAGTCTCTATTTGAAAATTGATTAATATTTTATCTTCTGCAGACAAGACTTGTCTTGTGTGGGGTAAAACGTGCACGGGAACGGGAAATTGCTGGCTATATAACGGCGAGGCGTTGAGGTATTTGCTGAACTTCACCGCAGCCAGTGAGTCTCTCATAAAGTACACAATTCAAAAAGTACAATCGTTTCCCTCGTTAATCGCAATGCCGTTTCAGGTTTCGTCTCAATCGGCACGCTATTCGACATGGGCGTTTGGTATTTCGTCAAAGACGTGAAGATCTTTGACGAGGAGATTGAACTGGAGGACATAGCCGAGGAGCCTGGCGAGACGCACTGAAGAACGATTATCGATGATGAAGTTTAACCTTTCCTTCGGAGAGCGTGTGCGTTACGCGAAGGGAAAGCTCGGATCGGGAAGCGAGAAGGATCGAACAAAGAAACGCGAAGCGAGAACCGCGAAATAAAGACTTTTACAAGTACCTTAAGCACCTGCTTAGATATTTAAAGTTCGTAGTAACCTAGATAGAATCGATTGTTGGCAAATCATCCATTGGTGTTCGCAAGAGGAGCAACGATCGATGTTTTATTAATTTCAATTTAATTATTTTTATCGCTGCAACAGCCAAATTTCGTAACTCGTTGTAGGTACGACGTGAACACTTGCTTTATTTAGAAACTCATGTTTGAATGAAAAATAACGATCTTGAAAAAAAATGCCGATACGTATACGATAAGTATACGTACACTCCGTACACATCGCTTACACTGTCAATGATAAAAATAATTCGTTAGTGTGAATTATCTATAAAGATAATTGTACATATAATGATTATACTTTGAATTAGTAAATTAGTAAGAAAAAAACATTGTAATTTATCTATTCATGATAAATACATATAATGTATCTACGCCCTGTTCGAATAACGAGTTACCTACGTTGAAAATACTTATTTCTTACAGCATTGTACCACTAAAAAGTATACTACTAAAAAAATAACAAGAACATACTACTAATATATAAACAAAGTAACATACAAAAGTTAAAATACGATGAACTTTTATTAAATATCAAAAAAACTATTATTATACTGGACGTCATTATACGCAGCAAACGTTTTATCAGCCTGCTCTCTTTTATTCGAAAGATTTGAAAAACTTACACGGATGCAAATAAATATTTATCAGTCATTTATCAGTCATATCAGTTTTGCGGGCGTGTGACAATTAGGTCAACCAACGATAAAATGACGATTGGCAATGAAAGAAAAACATCGTGAAAATTTACTTTTTATCTATCAAAATTAAGTTGGCTGTTTTATGTCTCAGATGTGACAGGTGACAAAAATAGTATAACGCTTTTATGGTTGCAGTAAACTATTCGAATATCTTATCGCTCGGAGATATAAATTTATCGCGATAATGCTTCATTCCGCTAATAGATCACTCGCTCTACCGTAAATATTTTTAGAAACATGGCTACCGCGGCTATTACGCGTCATTCGCTAGGAGCGATCATAGGTTTCAAAGGTCAGTTTGATTGTACGCTAGTTGCCTCTCTTTGGCGGAGTGCTTCGGGCTAGGCGTTTTGCGCCCTTCCGCGCGCGGATCAGAACTCTTATTCTGCACGTCCGGCAGGCTGCCGAAGCCGGAAGAGAATTGTCTTCGAGAGGACGACCTGCCAGGCACCATAGCCACCAGTGGTACACCCAGTTTGCTCTCCGGCCGACTCCTCGTACCCTCCATCGACTTCACCGATAACTGATCTCCGTCCAGAGTTTCCTGACTCGCGTTCTGCTCATATCGATCGATCAGCGACTTGACGTCCTTCAAGTGCGCCGTGTTGGCGCCGGCCGAGTTGCCCTTTATGTCCGGAAGCGGATCCACTATCGGTATGCCAACTTCGTTGAAGTCGCCCTGCCGCGGTACGTCGCTCTCTTGACCCTTCTTCGCGAACTCGAAACTACTTGTCGTCGAGGAGCCGTCATCCCGGTCGTCATTTAGATTCCTGAATCGGGCATGCCCGGCTCTTCGCGGATCCCCGTAATTATCGGGATTCGGGAATCGGCGTTTCAACGACGAGTTCTTAGGTCGATCGCTCTCGCTCTTATCCGGCTCGTCGAAATCCTTGCCCGAAACACGCTTCCTCGATCTCGGCCCGACACCGCCGAGATCGCTCTCGACGTCCGAGTCGAGTTCCAGGGGCATGTAAGCGATCTGTGGATGCGATCGCTTCTTACTCTCGTCGCTCGAGCTATCCAACTCGTCGTCGGAGTCGAGATTTCGGATCGTCGATCGCGAATTCTGATTCGTAGTAGGAAGGTTCGAACTCGAGCGACGATCGCCCGGGCCTAACGGGCCGTATTTCAAAGGTGCGCTTTTTTGGGCACCTTCCTCTTCCTTCGGCTGATCCTCTTCCGGCACTGTTGTCTCCGGCGACCTCGATTCCGGCTCGATAATCGCCTCCACTTGTCTCGTATTGTCTGCAAATATTATTTGTGACCGATTAAAGAAAATGAATTGCTGTAACTTTTATTTTTTGTTATAAAAGGAATGTTTACTGTCGTCAATTGAAGTTCCTTGTTGCTCAATTGCTCTATTAGTTTCCGCTGCTTGTTCTATTAACGTTTGGAGCGCCCCATTTTCGTAGTCTTTATCTTCGACTTCCTCGTACAGCTGTAAATTCTTGCAGAAGAACCACACGACAATTTTGAATAAAAGACTTAACGACAAGAATAATATTGTAAAGTAACACAAGTAATCTCCAAGTTTTTCGCTATTGTGTAAATGGCAAATTGTTTTCTCACTGCCCCAATATTGACACGCTTGACGTGCGACGAGCTCGTAAAGAATTTTGCCGGGGACGTAGACGAAAATTGAGAGCCACATCATCCAAAAGCCTATGCTAATGGCTTTATCTTGCTTGTAGACGGATCTTATATTAATCAATAAATCGCCTATGAAAGTGGTTGCCATTAGCGCGTACGCCAGCAAAGAGCCGAACTGAAAAAAAAATCAATTTTTTCAAGATTTTAATTTAGATACTTCAGCAATTGCTCAATTCGATAAGATAATGTATTGTGAAGATGAACGAAGAACAAGATAGCAATTACCTCAAAAAGCATCCAGCCGACCTGACATTTAGTCGAATCGCACGGGCCATCTTTCGCTTGGTCATTACCCCACCCTGTCATATCCTGCACGCAACTGCAATCGCTGTAGATCTTCACATTGTCAACGTAAATGATTTTGGTGCAACCGGCGTAGCAAGGACTGTAATACGTGAATTTTCCCGAACTTTCGCAAACTGGTCGGAAATCGGCGTCTTTCGAGCAATGACAATTCTTGTTGCAATATTTCAACAACTTTTCGCTGCAAAAACATGATGTAATAAATTTAGCTTCATAACTTCGTGTAAATAATTATACCGAGTTTATGCGTAATAAAATATCACAGAATAAAATATGACGCTTTTTTCTTTATTTTTAACGTGAAATTGCCGATAGTTTTAGTACTGACATGGAATATTGATTTTAATACACTCACTAGTTTCTATCCAGGCCAATGATAGGCGGCTTGTTGCAAGTGGCAAAGATTAGCGAGATGATAATCGCTATTGTCAAGAGTACGATGACGAGACTGTAACTGATGATAAATCTTGCCCGTGGTTTTGCTTTAGCTAACACTAAACCGCTGATAATTAAGATCAGCCCGATTAGAACAGGTCTCACAATGTCTGAAATAAATTGAAGTTAAATCAATTATTTTCATCGATATTATATTTTATCGTAAAACATAAAATAAAAGAAAAAAAAATGTGCATAAATAATTTATTTTCGCATTTTATAGACACATTTAAACTCATATCGCTATAATTCCTTTTTGTTTTTTGTTTATTTGTACGCATATTAATGAGTATATCGATTAATCTTACTCGTGACTAATCTGGATGACAAAGGATCGCTAAATCCAAGGAGCATTCCTGTCGGTCTGGGCATGTGGAATCTAGACTCCAAAATTATATCCTCGAGGGCCATAAAATTGACGAGTGCCACAGCGTAGAATACCGTCGCCACGATGTTGCACATCAAAATTCTGTTGGTAATCAATCTGCACAACGACGGCCAAAAATCCGGACTGCCGACTTTCTGACTAGTGGTCGTTCGGTGAGGCGCTCGATTTGCAGCCGCATCGAGAAGCGAGGCCGCGGCTTGCTCAACAATCTAATATAGAATACGTGTAATTAGATTTCAAAGATACTTCTGCAACAATTATGATAAAAGAGTCTGATATTAATTTTCAAGTTTGTATCGCAAAATTGTATCGACTCAATTAATTAAGGGACTCGCTGCGTTATACCTCTGAGGGCAGTCTTCTGGGGAACCACGAAAGCAGCAAGCCAGGAACCACCAATAATATGGAGAGGATTGGAAATCCAAGCCACCACGCTCCGATTTGTTCCTGATATGACGTCACGATGCTGAAATTTTCCGCGTCTATCCTGCACGCAGACGAATTGAGAACAATTGTATTTATAACTATTATAAATGTGTGCTCAATGTTTAGGGAACTTGCAAATGTATTTAATTAGAGCGCTCACCGAAGACATCCCCAGCCCAAAAGGTACCCGAGAAGAACCCCGATGATCTTCACGGCGACAATCACGCCGATGAAGGCGGTCACGTGTTGCTTCTTCGTATTATCGTCCAAATAAGAAATCCCCAGTGCGTAATATGCGATGTTTGCAATCCCAGCTACGATCAGTACTATAATCAATATAGCCATAGTGGAGTAGCAAGACTCGTTTTCCTCACTAATGATCCTGGATAAGCCAGAACTGCATAATTCTGGGCTATCGTCTAAAATATATTTTTCAATTAGCTCACTTTTTATTTTCTTTTTGAGTTTTAAACGCTTTTTGAGTTTCAATCACTGACCTGCATATAATGACATGTGAGTGACATTTTCCGCTTCTTCGACCACACGAACGCGATGTGTTAAGTGAGGTATTATCAAAAGAAAATACGCAACGCTTTGCAACAGGGTTAAAGCTCCAATCCATGAAGCTCTGTGTATTCTGTCGCCCCAATATGCCACCACCAATCCAAGGATGAAAGGAGTCAGTTCTGCCGTAACAATAATCCAGTCTGAAAAAGATAGCTTTCTTAAAAAATGACAAATATTAAATTTTCTCGCGTTAGAAATTCATTTAAATAAATTTAATAAAAAAATAAAACAACATATAGTTAGTCGTTTCGTAAAACATTTTCTAGTAAATAATTGTTTTTATAATTATTTAGAATTAATTATTAATTAATTACTAGTAAAAATATAAAAATAGCGCCTGCAATATTTTTTATGTTACTCCTCCAATTAGATATTTTCTTGCATTCTTTACGTACTCATTAAATAAGGATCAAGCTGAAATCTTCTGGCTATCGTAGATCCTGTCACATGAAAATAAGCATACGATGCAGCTTGCACAACACCAATCCAACAAATTAATCCCACAAACAGTTTTCGCGTTGCGAATTTCGCCAATTTCGGGCACTGCATCTGTCCGCAGCCGCAATCGATTGACTGACTGGGTATCGGATTTGCTGGTCCGGACAAACCGCCTTCCACTTCCGATCCACTTCTCAACATTTCCGGGAAACGAACTGACATTTTTTTGCCAAAGAGATGCCCTTAATTAAGATAAAATATATTAAAGTCTTATCATACACATTCGCGCATATGCGTAGTTTTAAATAACTCCATCAAACGTACTTAATTAAATATTGTACAATGCATTCTATCATTTTTTTATTAAAATTCGGAATATTATACATAATGTCAAACGAAGTCATGAGAAGTATTGCGAAAGTTACACGTGTCTGATATCAGTTGATCTATGTGTCATCGTGAGTCACACTGCGTTTGTGGAATTGTAGAAAATCACACATATTTGTAATGTTAAATACGTGTAAATTTTTAACAGACTCAATTAGTGAGAAGCATAAATAACCATAATAGTTCTTTAGAGAATAAATAAAACTGCAATGTAAAATATCACGCACTTCAGAGTCGTTTACTTGCGCTTATTCAGACTTGCTCCGCCCTCGTACTTTCCGACGATTAAAAAAAAACCGCATTCACTATCTTGTCGTGTTAATATTCCACTCCCGAGGCACGTTTACATGGTGGCAACATCTCGTGCAGAATTTTCTCTCGTGCAACCCTTTGAGAAAACCTCGTCTTCCGCCTTTTTACATCTGTCGTCGCGGAGAAAGAAAGCAGCGTTCACCGTGGATGCACAGGCGCGGCACTATTCGACGAATACGCGCGTGTTATCTACCTACAGATATGCCGTCGAGATATCTTATGATAAAGATAGAGCGTATTACGTATCGCGATGGGGATAACATTACCGACACTAACGTATCGTGCAAAGGTGTAAGCCAGTTTAATATCGCTATTAGTCTGTGAGCGAAAAAAGGACAATCATATCTATTTGTTGAAGTAATACTCGTGGTATTCGATATTCGAATTGAAAACATCTGTCAGTTACGGCTAAATTTTATTTAATTTTAAGCCATTCAAGCTCGCAGATAAATTCTCCGGTTTATTAAATATATAAATTATTATCATTAACATAATTTTATTCACGATAAATATTTTAGCTAACTGTAAATTCGTGTAAAGTATTATATAAATTTATATTTACTTTTGATGTATTATGTAAATTAATGCATTATATTTGCTACATGTTTTTGGTCCTCGTCACACATTAATGAAATTCAAGAATTATTTGATAAAATGTGTAATATTTAGTTATTACGATAATTGGCGTGGTAAAACGACGAAATTATACAACTGACGTAATAATGCGACGAATAAATTTCAAAATCGAACAATAAACGAATATAAT